TGGTCCTGTTTCTTGAGGATGTTGAGTTCCAGTTGCTCAAGTCTTGCTACTCCTGTTCATCAAGAGTTCCGCGATTTTGAATGATCGTGTATGCTTCATTGTAGTATCTAGTTACTACGCGTCGATGAGATGCTCTAGAGCGTTTGAATAGCTCCAAATTTTCTGTCATGACAATGTGGCTGTGGATGTTTCACTCGTGGTTTTGCTATTTCTATTCGTCAATGGGATCGTTGAAAATTTTGATTGTTGAAGTTTTCGTTCTGTGGGGGAGCCGAAATGACAAATTTGTGGTGAAATGCCAGATGAAGCAGTTAGTCGTTGATGCCGACTGTTTCCAACCCGAGAAGTATTTCAGTGGGAGATACTCCCCGTAAAAAAAAAACAAAAACAAAAATCCGCACAGGGATAGAAACTAGCCCAGAATGCCAAAAAGTTACTAAAAAATGAAGAAAGCGTAGCATCGCGCAGAATCACTGAAGTAAAACGACAGTTTATCGGTTGTACTTCAGTAATTTTCAAAAACAAAATCTAGTACAGATTGTTCGGGGGTCTACCAGTGGTTAATAAACCTTCAATTTCTCTGAAATCTAAGCGAAGTTGAATGTGGGGGTCCTAAGTTGTCCAGATACCTGACCGCCGACTAACTAATATCCTAAAATTTTAGTGAAATTCACTGTAGTCCTATCAAATTTAGCCAGTGGACCAGTTTATGTTGATAGTTTCCGATTCTATTTTTAAGTCTTAGATTCCTCACCAAATTAAAATAAATTCCTAGTTTATCAACATGTAAACGCGAGAAAATCAAACTGTTCAGAATTGAGTAAAATGGTTTTCTGTTTTAGTTTCACAAACTTTGTTAAAGGCAATAGTTGCACGGTTACAGTTGCCCGCATAGTTACAGTTTGCCCGGCTACAGTGCCTTGTAGAGATAAGTCACAACACCAATCTTTGGTCATCAGCATTTTTATCTTACACTAGAAAAAGTCATAAGCTATCATGTCAGTCGTCTAAGTTTGGTAGTTAGGTCTGAGTGTCCATAAGGAGCCATTTTTGCAAAATTAGTTGGAAATTCTCTTCCTCTTTTCCCCGAAGACCGATTTTTTTACTGACCATATTTGAAGTTTTGCGACTGAACAGTGCTAGAAAATAATGACTTCATTCATGCTGAATCAAGCTAGTGGAAATGGTAGGCGAATATCCGAAAGTCGAACCTTTCAACAGTGTCTTTTAGAGTTTTAAAGTTTGAAAGGCAAGGAACTGGAAAAGTGCATGAATGAATTTGTTATTAAAAATGTCTCGATAAGTTTAAAGATAAAAAAAATATAAACAACTGGTAAACAGTTAGGCTCTTTTCACCCTCGCCTCACATAAGCATCAATTTTATGGTGTAACGAGTTTTTTTCACAAAGGTTGTATATAAAACCGCAAATATTTTTGTCGCGGCAAATATCCGTCTGCATGCCTATTTTTACTTTTGCAACAATCAGTCAATGTGGATAAAATTATTCAATAAAAAATCGGAGGTGGAGGGGGGGAGGAGAGAAGGGGGAACAAAAGGCAACAGTTTTAAAGAAAAATAAGAATAATTAAGATGAACTAAGCCAGTTGTCTGATCACTGTGAGAGCCATGTTGGTCCATTCTACCAAAGTTCATGATATGATAGAGCTGATGATAGAAGTCATCGAGAAGCACAATCAGCGGGGTTGTCTTTCGTCGGCACAAATTTTTATTTCTCGGCGGGTGGAATTTCTTGAATTTTTGCTACTCGATTAGCAACGAAAGTCTTCCACTTGCTGGGAAATTCTACAAATCGTCCAACTGGCCAGCGTTTAGTTGTTGCTTTGAAGTGATCCTTACATTAAAGCTCCTCTGGTGTCCACGGTTTTCTTTCTGGAGCTTCCTCGATTTCCAAAAAACATTGTAAATTTGTGTTGCTTTCGTCGCTGACAAGTTACTTCTGTTGTAGTGAAGTAAGTCCGTGTTGTTGCTGTTTTGTTGCCCAATTACAAGCCAGCCAAAAACTGAGAGTCGATTTTAAATTGAACCTGTCTGTTCTTTGATTCTATTGTTTCCAATCATCAGATCTTCGTAGTGTGCTGCTCCAATGATCATGTCAATTTTCTGTGGATCGTTGAATCCGGGATCAGCCAATTGTAATTCCTCCACTGTTGTCCAATTGTCGATGTTGAATTGTCTCGAAGGCAAATAGTTGGTTAGCTTCTGAAGAATTGATGCTGCTTTTGAAATTGGTGCATTGTCTGAGGGCCGGATGAGTAGATGAACTTGCCCTTGTTGTCGCAAACTTCCTTGCCTCCAACTCGGCAAATCCTTGTTGTCCGCTTCTGTCTGCGTAGGAAGAAGAGTGATCCACATTCTTTGCATCGAGATCCAAAATAATCCTTATTTCTATGACCAGGTCGAAAACAATGAAAGTACAGCTGATTCATTTTGATCAGTTGAGAACTGTCTTTAATTGACAGGTTTTTGAAGATGTCGCATCTAAAGATTCGATGGTTTCCACAACATTCGCGTTCGTCCTTGTCTGATGTAGCTCGATTTGTCTGAAGCGTCTTTGGTGTCATGTTACTTCCTTTCCTGTCGAGCTGTTGATTACCAATCAATGTTTATCGCGAAGATGATGTTTCAAGAGCGTGGCATCTTTCATCGACAAACTTCCTCAGCTGATCGTAATGCTGAGGTTCTCGTCCTGGTGTAGAAAACTCCGTGTTTCAATGGGAAGTCGTTCCGTGAGAAGGTAAAGAAAAAAATTATCCTGTTGATGGACTGGTTAACCATGGTTCAGCAAAGGGAGTCAGTGTTCCTCTGTGGTTTCCATGAGAATTCGTAGATCTTTGGAGTTTTCTGTTGACAACGAATGCTGCTTGAAGATTTCGTGCAAATGTGATTGCAAAATCAAACGTTTGTTGTCGTATCGGTTCTCCAGAATGTCAATGGCGATGTCAAAATTGTCTATCGTAATCGTTATGGAATGTAGTAGTTTGTCCGCGTCTTCAGTCAGAGTAGATTTCAAGTGCTGTAGATTTTGGCTCTTCGTCAGTCTCGTGTTGTCAATCGCAGCTCCTTTGAACAAGTCGAAGACCGATTTCCTTTCCAAGTATCCTACGGAGAAAACAGGCAAACTTAATTTTGGTAAGTTGACATTCACATCTGTGGTTCGACTGTCACTTGTAAAAACTCGTGTCGGTCTTTGGAGCCTTTGAAGAAACTGTTGATTTTGATGAAATTACTGTTCATATTTGTCGTCCAAATCTTCTGCTTCTTGGATCTCATCGTCTAATGGCTGGTCATCTGTGATCAGATCCTGTACCTTCCTGTTGAAGTTTGAGAGTTGGTCCTGTTTCTTGCGGATGTTGAGTTCCAGTTGCTCAAGTCTTGCTACTCCTGTTCATCAAGAGTTCCGCGATTTTGAATGATCGTGTATGCTTCATTGTAGTATCTGGTTACTACGCGTCGATGAGATGCTCTAGAGCGTTTGAATTGCTCCAAATTTTCTGTCATGACAATGTGGCTGTGGATGTTTCACTCGTGGTTTTGCTATTTCTATTCGTCAATGGGATCGTTGAAAATTTTGATTGTTGAAGTTTTCGTTCTGTGGGGGAGCCGAAATGACAAATCTGTGGTGAAATGCCAGATGAAGCAGTTAGTCGTTGATGCCGACTGTTTCCAACCCGAGAAGTATTTCAGTGGGAGATACTCCCCGTAAAAAAAAAGCAAGAACAAAAATCCGCACGGGGATAGAAACTAGCCCAGAATGCCAAAAAGTTACTAAAAAATGAAGAAAGCGTAGCATCGCGCAGAATCACTGAAGTAAAACGACAATTTATCGGTTGTACTTCAGTAATTTTCAAAAAAAATCTAGTACAGATTGTTCGGACAACTTCCGGGGTCTACCAGTGGTTAATCAACCTTCCATTTCTCTGAAGTCTCAGCGACGTTGAATGTGGGGGGACTAAGTTGTCCAGATGCCTGACCGCCGACTAACTACTATCCTAAAATTTTAGTAAAAATCACTGTAGTCCTATCAAATTTAGCCAGTGGACCAGTTTATGTTGATATATTCCGATTCTATTCCTAAGTCTTAGATTCCTCACCAAATTAGAATAAATTCCTAGTTTATCAACATGTAAACGTGAGAAAATCAAACTGTTCAGAATTGAGTAAAATGGTTTTCTGTTTTAGTTTCACAAACTTTGTTAAAGGCAATAGTTGCACGGTTACAGTTGCCCGCATGGTTACAGTTTGCCCGGCTACAGTGCCTTGTAGAGATAAGTCACAACACCAATCTTTGGTCAGCAGCATTTTTATCTTACACTAGAAAAAGTCAAAAGCTATCATATCAGTCGTCTAAATTTGGTAGTTAGGTCTGAGTGTCCATAAGGAGCCATTTTTGCAAAATTAGTTGGAAATTCTCATCCCCTTTTCCCCGAAGACCGATTTTTTTACTGACCATATTTGAAGTTTTGCGACTGAACAGTGCTAGAAAATAATGACTTGATTCATGCTGAATCAAGCTAGTGGAAATGGTAGGCGAATATCCGAAAGTCGAACCTTTCAACAATGTCTTTTAGAGTTTTAAAGTTTGATAGGCAAGGAATTGGAAAAGTGCATGAATGAATTTGTTATTAAAAATGTCTCGATAAGTTTAAAGATAACAAAAATATAAACAACTGGTAAACAGTTAGGCTATTTTCACCCTCGCCTCACATAAGCATCAATTTTATGGTGTAACGAGTTTTTTTCACAAAGGTTGTATATAAAACCGCAAATATTTTTGTCTTGGCAAATATCCGTCTGCATGCCTATTTTTGTACTTTTGCAACAATCAGTCAATGTGGATAAAATTATTCAATAAAAGTTCGCAGGTGGAGGGGGGCGGGAGGAGAGAGGGGGGAACAAAAGGCAACAGCTTTAAAGAAAAATAAGAATAATTAAGCTGAACTATTTAAGCTATCGATAATGGATGAAATCGGTTACCAACCAGCCTCCTCGAACTCTGCGAAAAAGTTGATTCTGCGCCACATGGGTCGTATAATGCGCTCGAAATTCATTTGCAACATGTGTTCGTAGGCCGACCTGTTCAAAGGCGAGAGATGTTCACCGTCGGGCAAGATAGCATTTCTGTTGTTATTTTCCCTCTCATATGTATGCAGGCAATAGTGGTGACTGAAAGAAAGTCAAATACAAGAAAAGTCAAACTCAAAAAAAAAGTTCAATTAGTTAAAAGATATGGCTGACAGTTGCTAATTGAGGCGAATATAGTATTCAATTATATCAAAATATTACAAACAAAAGTTCTTCAAATTAGTCTAGTTTCTTGTGTGTGGTGAAAACATGTTCAAAACTTGAAACCGTTTCTCTCGACACTCGGACAATTTTTAGAAATTTTTTATCTCCTTAAATCACGGCTGAAAGGGCTTTAATGTGGCATAATCACTCGATTCATTCGTATGATTATTTGTGGTACCTGATTTTGCGCGGAAAACAAAAAAAAAGAAAAAACAAACAAAATACAAAGTTCCTCTCTAATTTCAATGGTCGGAAAAGTTATACCATTATACGCATGAATAAGTTTGAAAACGGTCAAATTTGTTCCACAGTAAAACAGGTCGAACAATCTTAGTACCTCCTTACCCTTGAACAGCCTTCCTTATACTCATGAACAATCATGATATGATTGTGGAGAGGGGGGGGGGGGGGGGGAGGAGTTATACCACCTCTGCCGGAGACAACTTCTTCCGAAGAAGGTGGAGTGATTGGGAACCCAGAAAATGAGAGATGTCCAGTGCTCCTCAGGCTGAACGCTACAATCGCCTACGAAAAAGTTCAAACCGAATTGTTTTTGCAATTCAATTTATCAAAAGTGAATTTTGTCGTGAAGCAATAGTACCCAGCCCAGAAAACTACCCAGCAAAGTTATCCAATAAAGATTACAGATAGGTGTAAATAAGCGGGCACAACAACGGTTTATCGCAGTTTGTTGAAATTTCCTGTGTTTGACCTTTCGCTCGTTAATAAATGGTCATTTAATTATCCCGACTTAAAGTAACGTCTTTCAAATTTTCTCATGGAAGCAGAAGTAGCATTATGACTTCCGATGGAGAGGCGTGTGTCTAAAACTTTTCCGAGGTTTGGGAAGGTTCAAATGAAAAACGACACCAATTATGATGTGATCTACTTTTGTTTTTCATATAGTAGTAAAAGTAATGAGCTGAATGACACCTTAGAAACAAACTAATGAATTGAAGCTTAAACTAAAATATCCGATTGCTGTGCAATAGTAACAGGATGTTCCAACCACAACTAATCGTTTTTGTGTCTTTTTTGAATGTTTCATAAGCATTTAGATGTTTTAAACGCGAAGACAGTTTGATAAATCCGCCAACTTGAAAATGGTTTACAATATGCCTATCAGAAATTATATGTTCTTCTGTGCTGCCCATCAAAAAATACGGTTCCCCCTTTTTGACTCTAAACAACTTAACGCCCTACAATTTAACTTCCTACTTTTTGTTGCCTTAGCACTATAACGTCGCTACATTTTAATTTTTTTTTGTGAACTTATGGCCACTCGATGCATCAAAAAAGTTGAGTTTTTGTACGGAAGAGTTTGTTTTGTAGGCTGCCCCCTACTTTCCACATATTTGGGTGGGCTTCGCTGAAATATGATTGAATCCCGAAATGCCATGCCTCGACAGCATTTGTTGTTCGAGCAATCCCCATCACGGCGGCATCTCGCTGGTTCCAAAGAGAGGGTGGGAAGGAAACTTCACGGTTTGGCACCAAGTTTTTTTTATATAAATAGAGCCGAAGTACAGACACAACTCGTCAATTTTCTCAACTTTCTCGGGTTCTAAACAATTTCTGTCGCATACATTCTGAATTTCCTGAACAATCATGTCATAGGAATCGCCGATCTTTTCTTTTTTTCGAATGCAAGGGATGGCAGCTTTTTTAAAGCCAGCGCTAAATCGTGATTCGTTTCGTAGGTCACTTTCAGACCCAATTCATTAATTTTTTTCATGTAACTCTGAGAGAGATGGAAAAAACCACCCGATAAATGTGCTTCGGGGAAGGTTTTTTGGAAGGACTGAAGAGCAGCTTGCTCAAAATCTAACAAAATTTTTTCAGGCCGGCAGTTGGGTGCTAAATCAATTAACGCCTGCAAAAAGCGTTTGTAGGTTTTTTCGGTTTTGTTCGGAAGGAAGGCGTAAATGCAAGCTGGCGCAATGCCAGATACACTAACATGAATTGAATATAGCTGACAAATCATTTTTGGAATAATTTTCCTTGGGAGGGCAAATTGAGTGGCCAAATCGTTTGTAATTGTCAAAACCGCACTGGCAACTGCAACAGTCGAGGTAAATCTCTCGCTGAGATCTTTTATATGCTTTATGACATTTCGGGCCTCCAATTTTCCCGCTGAAATGTTGTGGTTATGCTCTCCACGCGTCTCGATTAATTCGTTATTTTCAGTAATGGCAGTTGCTCGACATTTATGTGTTTGATATTTCGAGCAAATCCAGTTTTCTGTAAGCTTATTTTTTCGCTTGAAATAAAATTCATGGCCGGACGCTATAAGAATTGGCTTGTTTTCAGATGAAACTGTGAACTCGAAAGAAGACTCAATCATAATGTGTTTATTGTGTTTGCGTTTGTTTATCATTTGAGTAAAGTATAAAGTGACTGTCAGAAGTTATAAACTAGCACAAGGAGCTTTTTTTAGTAATTATAAAGGTTTAGCGAAAAGTCTAATTAAAAATAAATTACAAACTTGTAGATAAGAGTCTTAAGTAAATTAGGAAGCCTCCTTTTAGCATGTATAACTGAGATAAACCAAGTTTTTCATTATGGTGCGTGTGCTAATTGCAGGACTAACTTTGGTGTGATAAGAGTTAAGATTAGGAATTCATACAGCATTATCTTTAATAGTGAAATGACTAGGTGTTAAAATGTACGGTGTTAAATTGTATGTCATTAAATTGTAGGACACCAAAAAATACATAGCGTTTTAAAGAAAAAATGAGAAAAAAAATCGACAAAGAGGTTTCGACAAACAACATGCGGTTAACATCCGGCAGGGGCGGATCTAGGATTTTCTCGAGGGATCGGATTTTCAAAAAAAAAATTGAATATTTTGTCGATTTTTTTTTAGTTTGACCAAATTGATTTCTCGAGCTCTCCCAAAGCACAAAAAAGTCCGTTTTGGCCAAATTTTCTGCGCCGCAAGCAAAATTAAAAAAAAAACAAGCCAAAAAAAGCCTTTTTAAGCACTTTTTGGAAAATTTTTGACCAAAAAATTGCGTTTTTCGGCGCGCGCTCCCCTCTCAAAATTAATATATAATGGCTCCAAAGGCGCCTTTAGAAAATTTTTAAGGTCCGTCACCAAAAATTGATATTTCAAATAAGTACAAAGGGGGACGCTTTGGGTCGGCAGATGATCGAATCCCTAAGAAAAGGAGGGCGTCCGCCCCCTCCCCCACCCTCCCCTAAATCCACCCGTTTTTGTTTTGTTTTGTTCAAGCTCTTTGGTTTCTTCTCAGTAAGCTTTCCCCGTGCCTAAATTAATAGCGCAAATCTTTTGATGATGAAAACAATTTGAAAGATTGAAAATAGATTGAAAATTCGGCACTAGTGATTGATTATAATTAATTTTGAAAAAAGGCGGCATAACTGGCACAAATTTATGGCAAACAGTATTGGTGGCAATATCTTTAATTTAAAAATATTGATTTGATAAATGGTAATTTATACTTACTGAGACCAATAACTATTAAGACGAGGAAAACTTTCAATTTTTCAGCCATCCGTGCAACTTGGATGGTAGCTTAAAATATACTTTGATTGATTGCGTCTCAAATGTAGATGTTTGTAAAGTAAACAACCGTTATTTAATGTGATAGGGCCGATGAAAACAGTTCAAGAAGGCCGTGAGTTCATGTAGTAATATTTGTCATGAAGTCAAGCTAATTTCGCGAAAGGCTATCATGATATAGAAAAAAAAGTTTCTCTGAATATATTGAGTGGTCATTTTGATAGGTAGTACTTTTGATGTTGTTGATTTTTTAGGAGCTGAATTTAAAAATGAATTTAAAAATCAAACCCCAACCAAAATTGGCGCTAAAAAAATTTGCTAAAAAAAATAAGAATAAAATGAACGAAAATGAGTCCTCATTTCATTGATTGATAATTAATTTGCTTTAAAAAGACAACAATGTTTTATTAGGAATCGTTATTTGTGTCGTACAGTTTCAATTAACAGTCTAATAACCATGTTCATTTTTCAGTTTTCAAACCTAACTCTGGATAAAAAACTTTATTGCTTCTCTTCTTTTTACAGGTTTTTCAGTCCTTTCCCAGTGTCTTTTTTTTTGAAATTAGGTTCAAGAAATTGTATTTGAAGTTACTTTTGATATTTTAAATTGCAACCAAACAAGTCAGCGTGAGCACCAGCTGAACGAAATTTTACAACTTTTTACATTCACGCAACGGTGGGAAACTGAAAAGAGACTGGCCTTTGAGCCATCACACCAAGTATTTACTATTATAAATGACACGTGTAAACCTTATTCAGGAAATATTTGTTACTCGTCTAACCAATCGAACCAAAGGAGAATATATTTTTCTTACAAAACTAATAGAGAAAAGTTAAAAAAGAGCAAGGGTAGCCAGCCACTGTGCAAGTACCACAGAATATTCTGGCATAGTCTTAAAAACACAAAAAATAAAGCTTTTTTTTTCAAATTAGGCAAATTGAACAACAGTTTTTTTTTAAAAAAAATTGATGAAAAAAAACTTGAAAAATGTAAAATCATTAGAAAATTTTTTGCAGATATTTTTGTTAGTTTTTTGAAATTTTTGGTTCCAAAATTGGCGCTAAGAAACTCATAAATTAATTTTTTTGGGTAAAACTAAGTTTTCAGGGATTAAATGAAGCATCAAAAAGCTATTGCAAGCCGGCTCGCTCGCTTTATTTGCTCGAAATTAAAACAAAACTCAAAAATTTTAAACCACTTTTTCTGAAGACGCCAAAAATTTTTTAAATTTCGTTTGAAGCACGACTGAAAGGACTTCAATGTGGTATATTATTCGATTTTTTTCTATTATTGTTTGTCGTATATGATTATGAGTGCAAATAAAAAAAATGCAGAATATCCGAATACAAAGTTCCTCTATTTTCAATGCTTGGAACAAAAAGTACGAATTCGGTGACATCATCGTTTTTTGCTCCTAATTTCCATTAAATGATTACAACTCAGCATATACATTATGTGATTAAGCGGACCAATTTAAAGGATTTCAACATAGATTTAAAGCTCTCTAAGTTTATAGAATTAGGCTTGCTTAAAAATCTACCTTGAGGTAAAAGTTATACTGGTCAACAAAACGGTCCTCACTTGTCAACACTAGAGACTGTATTTATGACGGTGCTTCCTTTTTAGTGCTAAAGATTATTAAAATAGGTTAAAACTACTAATTTTCAGATATTTGCTGAGCAAAGTAAAAATTGATAGATACTTTGCTAAGGCTGATCCATAAAATTGCAAGAAAAATCAATGTCAAATTGCAAGAAAAAGTTTTTGGGCTCGACCAATTTCAAAGGTTTTTTGAGGGCTTAGATCAATAGGCGTGTTTTTACTTCGTTCAGTGATAGCTAAAAAGATAATGCAAAAGTTTATCCACGCTCAAACATGGGCATTGAGTGAAAAGATAGCGGCTTTCAATAGTAAATTTAATCTGGTGATACAAAAAAACTACCGCCACTTAAGATCTAGTTTTTGCTAAGAACTCAAACGAATGGAACATTACTGGAATAAAAACCTGAGTGAGACATGAAAAAAGGATAAAAAAGGCCTAACGCACGATCCAAGAGAACGAAGTTTTAGCATACGTATTAAAATTTGCAGCAAGCAGGTCTCGGTCTAGCTATTTTATGCTTATCAATTAATGAAAAGAAAAAAGATAAAATAGGGCTGAAAATTGGCCCTTAATGATTTTTCTTCTTTTTGTCATTCCATTTCTTATAATACCTAAAATTAAGCGAACAAATTTTAATTGAAGAAATTATTTTCAGTTTGACGTTATTTAAAACTTCTAATGCACTGGATTTAAAATCTTCTGTTAACATTATAATCGAAAATTTTCTCGATTACTTCAAAATGTTTTCGTAGTCATCATTAATTCCTGTCAATAAAAACAGAGCAAATTATCAAAACATTCAAAGGAGTCATTGAAAATAAAAAAAAAATTTGAAGAATTTCAATTATTGAACTTTGAAGAAAAAAATTAGTGACGTTGAAACACTCATAAAATACTTTGATTCCACTGGGAAATCTAAACACTACAATCCGTTTATAAAACTCAGAGTCCTTGACGTTTTTTTTACAAAAACGCACTTTCACACTCACGGCTCTAGAGCATAACCACCATCCAATTGAGCACCAAAAACTAAATTGAATTTAAAAAGACTTAAAACTCTAACAACAAAAATTTAAAATGAGCGTCACCATACTATAAGACTTCACCTGGAAAAAAACAAGAAAGCATACATTCTAAAATCAAACCTTTGCTTCGCTCATTGATTTTTACCGATTGGCCAGCCATTTGATGATCGACAGCTTTCGGAAAAATTTTGATAGTTTTTTGATAACCCAGAGAAAAGTGGGTGAAAATGATATTTCTTTTTCCGCTGAGATTTCTGGAATTTGAGTCTCTTTTAAAATAATTCGCTGTTTTATGCACCATTCCAATTTCGTACTCTTTTTACTAATTGAATTTTTTCGTGAAATCAAAAAAATGAAATGCCAAGCCGCAAAAAAAATTATTTTAGCGATAAGAAACCTGGAAGTTTTTTCCAAAGAAACTGTAAAAATCAAGTTGCTCTATGTAAGTGATCAACAACTTCAAAAACTGTGATCAATCGCGTAAAAAATTTCTTGATTTTCAAGAAGATTTAGCATTGACTTCTTTTTTTTTAATTAAGAGTCATTTTAAATTTCACTGGGAAGTCGGAGAGCTGAAACCCATCTCGAAATTGTTATGAATTCATGTCTTTTCTCGCCGTTCGGATTTTTGTTACTCGAATAAGTGTGCCTCTTTAACACAGAGGCGAAGCGTCCCTTCAAAAACACTGGCAAGAACACGATGAAAAGTGCAAAAAAGTAGAAGTATGCCTGGATTTAGTAACAATGAGGATAGGTCTCGGTTTCGATCTGCAACCTACAGATTATGAGTCCCACGCACTAACTACTAAGTCACCCACCTTTAATACTTCACAAACACTAGCCAAATACTAACTGAGAACAGATGCTATGAAGTTTCCAGTGCTGGATCTTGATTAGAACAAAAATGCCACCAAATAAGTGAGCACTTTCCACTTTCATTCAACACTGATTTGCGAGTAAAGTTAGAAAAAAAGAAGGTTCGCACTAATACACTACGCTGATTGCTAGAGTAATCAACCGAAATTGCAACAAATTTTCATTAGTTTTTTGGAATTATTTATTGCAAAGATTTGCGTGGCCAAACTGTGCATTTTGTGAATTGTAAGCGGATTCCGCAATAGGCAAAAATCAAGAATATCGGATTCTCGGAATCCGCAAAATTGCCACTTTACTTTGATCTTCTCTGCTGTTTTGGATTCCACGGACAAATAACTAAAACACAGTATTGCTCAAAATTGCTCCAAAAACAGCAACAAAATGTGTGGAATGCGGAACAAGTTTGTGGAATCCATGAACAAATCATAATATGTGCTCAGTAAAATTAAGCTGTCGCGGAATTCGCAACCATAAGTGGAATCCGCAAATTCTCAGCGGAATCCACAAATTGTAAGCTGAATTCGCATATTTTTGCGGAATCCAATTACGTTTGCGGAATCCCCTTACTTTTGCGGAATCCGGAACAACAACTTATATTTGCTCGTTGCGGAATCCGTAACAAAATCAATGTACCGACAAAATTTATGTTACAGGTATTTGTAGGCGGAATCCACAAAATTTTGTAAATAGAATCCACTTACATTTTGGAACATGTTCTTAGACTTGCCTCTGGAATCCAGGAACAAACAGACACAAAATTGTGCGCCTATCCAGTACACAGTGTGGCCTCGTAATGTTGAACTTAAAAAACCAGATATCAAACAGCTGAAAATCAAATTTTAACAAGAACAATCTACAACTTCCTCTCAAAATAAAAAACAAAAGACTCAACAAAAACAATTGGACTGTCAACTCTTCTAACTCCGAGCTCTCCTCAAGCGCTATCATTTTGTAATTTCGTCCAGGTCAGTTTCCACAAATGATTTCCTGCTGCAGGAAAAACCTGTTTAAAGCCCTCGTTTCTTAACTTATGTTTGACACTGAAAAGAAGAAAAATTAACTGTACGTTTGGTTGATAAAGAATTTAGTCTTTGAATTTCAAGAAATTACTATCACAAACACGTTTTTAATAAAAGCAACTCAATTAGTGGCTTTTATTGGCAACTTCACTTCGTTCATTGGAACTGAAAAAAACTAATTACCAATTAACGAGTATTTTGTGAAGAATTGGTAGATGAAGAAAAAAGAATCAGAATCGGATTCCAATCATGAGAGTATTTCAAAATAGTAACAAAAACATAGCTAACATAGAGTTGGAAAAAAAATTAACGAACGCAAGGAAGCAAAGAAAACGGTCTTGTTCTTTGAAACAAATTGAAATTTTAAATTTCATGCTGCGTAAATTATGAATGAAACTTTTTTGATAAATCTAACTCAATTTGAGTTAACTGGATCAAACTGTAGGGCTTTATTGCCTGGGAAATCTAAAAAAGACAGCTAACAGACAGTTGTATAAGAGCAATTATACAAAAAAAATTCGACTTTTTTTTATGAAAAATCTCAACCTAAAAAATACCAAAAACAAAACGCAAAAAATAGGAAAAACACAGCCAACTTGAACAGAGTCAATGAAACGCGAGTAAATAAAAAAAACGAATTAATTTTTTGCGAAACCTCAACTTTCGAAATCATGTTTTTGGAACTTTTGAACAAATTATCCTTGGGATTTTTTCAATTCGAGAAAACTGGATCAATAGTTAAAATTCAATAGGATCAATAGTTAAAATTCGCTGGGATATCTGAAATTTAAATTTCTTTTTCAAAACTAGTCGATCACGTTTTTTGTTCAAGTGAGGTTTGACTTTCTTTTATTAAAGGAAATGAAATGAACTTAAAAAGAAATCAAAAGTTGAACCGCAAAAAAAATGAATGGGCCTGAACAAATTTTATTTCCCCTAAAAAATTAACGTGACCTATATAAGAATCTGACCTACGTTCATCGACTTACGAATAAACACCTACTTTCGAACTAAGAAGTCAATCACAAAAAATCATCAAGACTTGAATATGGGTCTTTAAGCCAAAAATAATGTTGGCCAATAATGCTAGTGAAGCCGAAACTGAGCAAAAACTCTTACTCGAGAGCTGTTTGAAATTTACTTGGTAAAAATAAAATTGGACTTCAAACTCTACTCTGCAAGCTCTCCTCTGCTAATATTTTTCAATTTCATCCTTCGTCGATTTCCATATATAACTTCCCACAGCAGCTACAGTGCTGATTTAAATTAACCGGACAAAACGAGCTAAACTTTAAACTTAAAACGCGTTTTTCTCTAATAGGGTTGAGTTTAGGTGAAAGTTTATGAAGACAAAACTTGCTAAAAATTTTAGCAGGATTAATATGGTGTTATTTGTTTTGCGAAATTCGGGCCCAAAATTTTACACCAAAAATGGGTCATTTTGGCTTTTCTTAGTTAATCAAAAATTACGCCAAAAAATACCCAGTCGATCACAAACAAAGTTATATCAAAGTGAGCTCCTTACGTAGCCCAACAAAGTTTAAGAAAGGTATGTTCTCCACAAAAAATTTGCAAATCATTTAAAAATTGTTTTTAAATACATAGTTGAAATACTGGTATTTATTATAGTAAAAACGACCTTTTTTGTCTATCAAACAAAAATAAAATAACTTATGTTTTGGAGAATATACCTTAAGTTTGTTGGGCTACGTAAGGAGCTCACTTTGATATAATTATGTCTGTGATCGACCGGGTATTTTTTTTGCGTAATTTTTGATTAACTAAGAAAAGCCAAATTGACCCATTTTTGGTTTAAAATTTTGGACCCGAATTGCGCAAAACAAATTACACCATATTAATCCTGCTAAAATTTTAAGCAAGTTTTGTCTTCATAAGTTTTCACCTTAACTCAACTCTATTAGAGAAAAACGCGTTTTAAATTTGAAGTTTAACGCGTTTTGTTCGGTTAATTTAAATCAGCACTATTTCGCCTGAATAAGCCAGTTAAAAACGTGTTACTTAACATATGCTTGTTAGTGAAAAAAGAAAGCTTAACTGAAGTTTTGATTGAAAATAAAGAATGTACATAATTAAAGAACAGCGGCGGAGCCTTCTTTGAACAGCAGTTCGATTGAATGGATTCAAACAATGGCCATTCAGTCAGAAGACAAGCGACATGACTTAGTGTCCGTCAAATATCAGTGAGCTGCAAATTTTAATTTTGGGTCAAAACACTTGATTTACAGACATATACAGTTCTTTCTCTGCTCGTTACTGAGATAACGACAAAATCAAAGGCAATCCTGCAAACAAATCAAATGTTATTGAGAACAAACAAAAATAATGCACAAATTTCCAAATTTTCGCATATAAAATATTGATCTTGTAAAATTGATTTACAGAAAACGATAGCAAAAAATATGAGCGACGTTTCAAACGTCTTTTAAGAGGGATTTGCGAACTACTAATCAGGTAATAAAATATGTTATCACAATTGCATATCGAGGACAGGGGATGCTTTTTGAAAGCATCAATTACCGTTGAAGGTGCCAGCCTCGGGCTAAACTAGAATAGAAGACAAAGAAATAAAGAAAGGGCGGAGCACCAGAACAATTTTATATTTATTTGAACAAAATAAACGTCATTTTAATGGTATGTACTCAGTACACAATGAAAGCTCTTCTTTGCAGTAAACATTTTCAAAAAAGTTGCACGGTTAAAACATCTATAAAGCAGAGAAAATAGAATAATTAATGAGTAGTATTTAAGTTTTCAAAATTCAGTTTTCAGGTTACACTTCCATATCATCAGTTCTCCTTCACGGCAACGACAATACCGCACAACAGTATTCATACATCAGGCATTCAAAGCGGGCTTCAAACCCACTTTATACACAGTCATACAGTTACAGTTTTCAGTTTATATCATTTGAACTCAAAATATTTGCGTGAACAATTCAACTCTTGAGATCACACCCACCATCACCTTGTTTTCATTTGCACTGACAAAAACTCCCTGCTTGTTTAGCTTGGACTTTATTGACTTTTGTTATACCTGAAAACACTCGCGCTTTTATCCTTCTTCTCAAAACGCGACGCGACATTAAAAAAAGAAAGTCAAACGCCCAACTCTTTTTTCGCATCAGCAATCACACTTATAATTGCAGCTTCATCGTCCTCTCCCAATTCTTCTTTTTTCATTCCGTATTTACATTCATTAGTCGCTTTTTCATCCTCATTTTCACAGCTCTGTCGGTCGTCATTTTCGCCATTCATATCTGGCGATAGCGTGTCTCTACCACTCACACTACTCGTAGGCGACTCCGATTTCGGCGACGTATTTTCACTTTTCCCGTTCCATATACTCTGAAGCAGTGGCGGTTTTTCGTGCATTTCCGGCGTACTTGTCGGCTTCTCGGGAGGCGTGACGTCAAACTCGTCGAAAAAGTTCTCGTGTACATGTCGTAGTTCGCTCAAGTCGGCGAGCAGAAGCACAAGTCGTGGCACCAGCTGTCGAGCCACTTCGGGCGGCCGATGAATCCGCTCGTATTCGACTAGCACTTCCAAGTAGACGTCTCGCATCGCATTACACTTTTCACGATCTATCGACTTCTCGGAAACCACGTCCAAATCTTCCGAAATTTTGTCTAAAATAAACAATATCATTTTTATTTACCAGAAAATTAACATTTTTATCACAGGGGATGAAACTTACGCAGCAAAACACATATAATTTTAACAACCGATTTTAGCAAGCAAAATAATTTTTTTAAAACTTTAAGGCTTTCTTCTAATCAAAGTTCAACGAATAAAAAATCATAAAAACGAATAAAAGTTACTAATTGGAATAAACATTATTTGATAAGGCAAACAATTAAATGCATTTTTTTCAAAAATCAAATCTCTAAGCTACTTTTTAACACAAATTTTCCTTCAGAAAAAATAATTGATTTTAACTTTTATATTGAAGAAAATTTCTTTATATATATTTTTTAAAACAAGCACACCGTTAGGATCAAGATTTTACATGTATTTTAAAAAATTTTACATGATCAAGAAAATTGGAGACTTGTTCAATGACTAAGTATAGTTTCCATTGATTACAGAATCAATAAAAAGAAAGACTTAGCATTAAGTTTACACCTCAAGCGTTGCATTTGGAACTACTTCGGATTTAAAAGGGAAAATTCAATAAAAAATACATAGAAAATCTGTTTTGATTCATAAAAATTAAAGATTCAGACAACCAATTATTTATGGTTGTCTGTTTAATGCAGTGTTATGAATAATTCAATGATGGCATGTCATTTGCTTAGAAAACAGGCAAAAACAGTGAATTGTTTCTTGATTATAAAGTTCCCATTATTAGCCACTCTCAAGCATAAAACTATTTTTCGGGAATTTTTTGCTGATTAAACTTGAAAGTGTCCATGTAAGAATTATATGGCTATTGAAACTCGAGCTTGTGCCGGAATTTGCAAAAAAAATAATGCTTTAAAATTACTTTAACATTAACAGCTATCGATCTGACCTTGATGACTTGAAGTTTGCGCTCTCAGTATAATTATTACGTTAAAGCTGGTTACAGATTTTTTTTTTTGAGTCTGTTAATTTTACTCTACTGTCGATTTTAAACTTTTAATTTTTTTTCACGTCATCATATTGTACTCACACAAGTACTAGTGTTCCACAGTCACTGATCTTCCTATTTTAGGCATGCATAATTTGTTTCATACATAGCATAGCCTTAAAAACACCTCTAACAAGAACACTTGACGATTGAAAAAGTGTTAATGAACTAAATTCACCAGAAAAAAAATGATTTTTTGGACCTTTTTCAAAAAAAAATACCTACAACACTGTAATCTCTTTAAAATACGAGAAATTTTAATGATTGAAGCTTTTTTGTTAACATTAATCCAATCTGGCAAACGAGCTTCAAAAAAATAAGAGTACCGTCACAAACTAGGGTTGATTAAATTTTGACGCCGGGTCTTTTTATACGTCGTTTTTACACAATAAAATAAAACCAAAGGCAGCTTCCTAGAAAAATTCGAGTCCACAAATTCAAACTCCTTGTGCTGCGTACGAGGATGTTTCCACAAAAACAACATATCTCAAACTACAGGCTAATTGACGTCATCAAAGCAAGACTCTTCAAACTTCGTTCTGCCAAATCCTTTCAAATTAAGCACTTGACAATTTTTAAACATTTTTATCTATGACCAGAAACGCGCGGCCAGAAAAAACGAGCGAAGACAAATGAGCGACAAAAATTCTGGACTTTTATCACCACTTGATAATTGAAAAATTGACTTCTTTCTTTGGCATTTGACTACGATTTTTGAGAAATTTGAAGTTTTTGTTGAAGAGCTTTAACAAACTTTAAAGCTGCCCAAATTTCTTTGTGTGAGCTCTTTTGCTGCAGATCAGCAACTAGTTTCAATACTAACGTGGTTGGAAGAGGATGAGTGCTCCGAGCAAGTAGTACTCCTCCTTCTGCAGATCCAGCTTGTGACAGGACTCTGCGAATTTAAGCATGGGTTCGCAGAAGTTGTTCAGACCACCCTTCTGGAGGGAGCCCTGGTCCAGTTCGATTCCAGAGAGAAGAGACAGCGTCTTCTTTTCTGGGTTGTAGTGTTGCGCCATGTAGATCATCAGCATCTAAACAAACATCACAATGCCTCACAGAAATATTTTATGCTTAGAAAATACTCAACAGTTTGCTTCGTAATTGTTTTCAAGGCAACATTTCTCAGCCCAGTAAAAAATTAATTAAAATGAAGTGTATCCCAAATAATTCACAGCAATTCGCATTTCAAACCAGATTAGGTTGTAAGTTGGTTCTTTAACTTGAACTATAATGTTGAAGAGCTCCATAAAAATCCAGAACTTAAAGATGATATCGATGCTCAGAAAATACTGTTTCAGTCAGCATAAAAAGGCAAAATAAAAGGTTTTCATAAAAAGCAATATAGTTATTCAAACGCTCCAGGAAACCTTATGATTGAAAAAATTAGATGAAAACTATCACCGTTACAGGGGCTAATTTGAGTTTTCGATCACATCAATACGTAACGCCCGGAACTATTTCATTTCCATCTTAATGAGCTAAATTGGAGCAGAAAAAAATTCTATTTCAATGAGAACAAAATCAGTTCTTTTTCCTTCGAAAACTCTTTGCAAACTTGCCGTTTTGGTTAAGGCCCCCCATTTAAATTCGGTTGATTATTTAAATTCGTGTATGATACCAAGTTTGCCGTTCGGCTAAGTACCTGAAAATACCTAAAATATGTCTTTAAAACCATAATCAATCAGAGAAAAACATGAATATATTGTACAAGCGGGCGCCTTTACTTCCGACTAAATGTTTAATTTTTCAAAGTACAACAGCATGATAAATAATGATAATCGAGCCAGGAACCAAAAATTGGAATAAATCAGTCCTGGAAACCTAGATCTCAGTACTAAAACCTGTTAGCATCAGTCTGCGTTAAAAGCTAACCTCATTTTCGGTCATTGATTTAAATTTTTTTGTAAAAAAAAGGTCTTATGACGCTCGCATGTTATGGTCGGGGTATGAACTATTACCTCAATTGACCCATAACAGTCGCAATACAAAAGTTGTCCCTTATTTTCGAAATCGATACACAAACGCATGGGCGAAGCAGAGCTTCGCACCACTGACAGTACAACACAAACATGGCATTGCAATCTAGCAAACAGATAATGAAAGGAAATGAGTCAGAAAAAATTAAAAGAAACCATTACAATAGGAATTTTGTCTTTATTATGTTCAATTTGAAGAAAACATGTCGCTGACGTTAAATAAAAATTCTGAAACAATTTATCGAGCCGCAACAAAGCGTACAAAAGTTGGGTGTGAGTCGAAAGCCAAAGTTTACTCTTCTCCTCCGGAAGAACAATTTTGTCTATCAAACGACCCAAAATTGAGTCACGAAGCCGACAAAAACCTAAAAACTAGGCTTTTGAAAATTAAACTGACAAAAAAATTAATTTTCATACATACTGAAAAAAGAGTCCAACCGAGACGCGAACCCCAAACTTCAGGGTGTCAAGGCAATCGCGCTACCTCTAGATCAAATGAGAAAGAGTCTCGAAAATGAGAAGGTTCAATATTAAAGCAAATTCAATTTCTTACTGATTTAAAAGAACAGGCAGTTGTAAAAGAATCAATGAACGCAAGGAACCTGAAAAAAAACTGAAAATTTTTTCTGAATGAACTGCAAATTTCGAATGTACGCGACCTTTATACTTTTTTTGTTCGATAAACAAGTTTGCCTTTGTTTTAGCAAAAGAAATAAGCAAAATTTAAGAAAAAAAGAGTTGTCGTTCTCGATTGCAAAACATTTGACACTAATTGATTGTCTGAAAAACAGCTCAAAACCTTAGAAAAGAGACTTCTATAAACTACACTATCTATTGCCTCTCATCAATTGCGACAGAGATAAAGACCAATCCTTGAAATTATACCATTGCTACAACTTTCACTACACCGTGCCTGGAAGGTTTTTTTTAATGCAGACCAATTTCTAATTCTCAACACAGAGGTTAAGCTTTGCTTCGCGAACTCAAGCCAGAAAACGACAAAAAGCAGCTCTAGAAATCGAAATAAGAAGAAATAGCATTGAATTAGTAAAAATTTTGCTGTAATCGATTCAAACATACGGCCTAAAGATTTTGAGTCTCTAGTTGTCGCAGTTGAGCCACGGACCATTAACAATTTCTTACAAGCCACCGATGATGCAGCTATATATGCTAATAAATTGCCAGTGCTATGCAGCAAATATGCAACCCAATAAAAATAATGCTAGTAGCTTAGGAGCCTCGTGTCCTTCCCTCTGGCCCACGGTCGCTTGACTAACGGAAGTTCTAGACACCAATAAGGCAAAGAACATGCTACGAAATTTCCTATGCTTCAGATCGTGATTATAGCAAAAGTGGCACCAAACACGTTAACACTCAGATGCTTCAGATCGTGATTATAGCAAAAGTGGCACCAAACACGTTTACACTCAATAGTCTTAATTTGCGACTGAGGTTGAAACAAAAAGTTTCATCGTACTATCACACTACGCTGCATTGTGTAAATTTTTATATAATCCTACAGATATCGTTGTCCTGAGCTGAAAATAATGAAAAAATTTTACTTGTGATAATTTTTTGTAGATCATGGGGGTGTGAAAATTGCTTATTTGAGATAATTAACGCACATCATATTGCGTTCTTACACAGCCAGCGAATACGAATTAAATTATTCCAAACTGAAATGACGGGAGCACTTAATACGTTACCAGACTCAAAATATATCAGTTTGTTCTTCACATAATACCTTTCTTTGCACTTTACATACAAATTTTTCAAAACTTAATTGATTGTTTTGACTAAAATTTTGTATCAAAATTAAAGGGCAGTCGGAATATACCAGTCTTTGGCCGTATATGAGCTGTCTTGTTTAAATATTATTTTTTCATCTATATCAATATTACCTCTAGAAAAGACTTGCACATGAGGTGAAAGAGGGCCTGCTCGTCGAAGCGACCGTAAAAGTGTTCGAACTTCTTGAAGCACTCTATTAGTGCATTAATACAGAGTACTGTGATCTCAGTGAGGTGTTTCTTGCGCATGTAGTGCACTTTGTCGGGGCTCTCAGTTGCACAGTCTTCTACAGTAGGCCACGACTGAAAATAAAACAGATACTTTCAAAAACCAATTCGATCCCTTTTGCGTCAAAAATTAGCATAATTCATACCATTAATTTAAAAATTAATTCTAATCTGCAAATATTCAACACAAAGACAGACAAAAGACATCGTGATAAATCTTTGTTTATTCGGATCCAGTTTACATCCTCCTCCCCCTTCCACCCAAATAGACCAAGTTAAGTTCCTTTGTAAAGCGCTACGTGTATAATGCTCTAATCTGACTGGCTGAAAAATCGACCTCAGAACCAAGTTAACATCCTCCCCCCTAAACGGCTTTGGCTGGAGGGGGGAGAGGAGGATGTTGAAGTGATCCGTTTAGTCGGTTGGTAATCTACAACATCAAACCCGGTTTTGATATTAAGTTTTTGATGCACCATCAACAAGATTATGAGATTGCCAGAGCAAAAAGAAGCATAAATCGGTTTTAAGTCTGATTTAAAAACAATCAGAAATTTCCTAATGACCAATTTTTGTTATAGCGAAAATTTATAGAAATTTTTAAACAGTTACTTTGAGCATTAATCAAAATATGACGACGTCTCGTCTGATGTTTCCTGGAATTTCATTCCGCACAAAGCCTTTCCAACAACGCCGATCTAAATTATTTAAATCGAAGACTCACATTTTGCAAAATGAATAATTTAAATAAAACACACCAATCGAAACGTATTGATTACAGAAACTGAGTTGTTTGATTTCCGCGTTAGGCAATTTCAGTGAAAAGTTCCCAGTGCGCAAATGACTCATCAACAGTAATGGTGGCAAAACCAACGGATCTCTTACTATATCCCCCTTTTGCAAAAGGGGGTTGGGATTCGTTACTAGGTTTAAAATAGACATATGCTTAATTGTTGATTTATTTCTTTATAGACGGGCGGAAATTCGTTACTAGGTACGCGAGGCGGATATAGTGGAAGAGATACAAACCAACCTATAAACACTTAGCAGACCATACAAGACGTCGAAAATAATTTCGATAAATATTTTGTTATCAGTTTTAAAATGCTAGCTTTAAAGCCAGTTTTAAATTTCAACTAAATTTGTCCAAACGATAACTTTGGTACCGAAAAGTTTTTTTGTTTCTATTATAAATCCAAGCGCGGGTTTGGCCTCAAAAGTAGAAAAAAATGTCTTTCCTTTTCCGGATTTTTTTTATTGATTGAACAACTGTTTCTGCTAAAATTTTCAGTAATTTAGCCTTCGATTACATCTCATTTTAACATTCTTTCAGAAAAACTATCAAAAGGTTCAAGGCAACCTAAACGGCACTCAGGGACTTTCCGCGACAAGCTTCCGTATTAAAAAACATTTTGTTTAGCAACATACTTTTTCATTTTGCCACCCTTTTCCAAACACAAAATTTGGTGGTTTGCTTTCATCATTCCTCAGTTACTAAATAATAAGTGTTATGCAGAGAAGAATTTTCTCAGTTGCTTCATGAAAAGAAAATAACACCCTTGGTACCGCTTAGTAAAACCGAGGCCTCTAGGCTGGCATAAAATTGGCACCATTATTGTTTTAGAAGAAAATGGTGTCGGCGAAAATTTAAAAGAAGAACTATAATTATCGTTTTAACTTTAGACGTTTTTGATGAACAAGATGTCAAAAAACAATTAAGCAGAAACTGAAAACATCGAAATTGGCAATTAAAAAGTTTTGCGAAAAAGAAAATTAAATAAAAAAACAAAAACAAATTGTGTTTCAATACCAAGCTAAATGAATAGTAACCGATTGTTGTGCAATGAGCTCAGAATGCTACGACTACAATTATCGTTATTTTTTTTTATATTTCTATGTATTTGTAAATGATCAAATTTGGGTGATATATTAGCACATGCGGTACATTTTCAAGTAATTGATTGATAAAGTAATATTCTCGTAACGTAGAGCATCATGTTTACACATTATTCAGATTTAAAAATCTGATTGAAAGTAAACTTCATGAAATTATTCAATTATTAGTTCCGAGTTTTAACTAGAACGAGCTACAGAATGGTTCTTCTTGTGAATTCCAAGAAACTTCCGTTTGATTGTTGGAGAAAAATGGAATATTTCAATGTGAGCAAAATTTTTGTATTAATAGGATGTCTCGCGCGGAGACAGATGTATTTTCACCAGCAAAACCATAGCAAACAGACAGACGGAAAAGTGTTATTAAGTGTTATTGAACTAAAAAAAAACGAAGAACGAATATTTTTTCTTATTCCAATTTCACAAAACTTTTGATTGATATATTTTTTCCGAAATGTACATAATTTGAGAAACCGACTTAACTTAACCGCCATGAAAAAATTTTCGATTGAAAAATTGATATCATAATTCAAAAAAAAATTTTTTTTCATCATTCTTCGTTTTATCTCACCCACACGTTGAGTAAAACAGAAAGGGATGTATTTAGCTTCTCGTACCCTAATGATAAGACCGAATGACTTGCCTCTACTCAATTTGTTACAGTTTAGTCGGCGGCTTATGCCTTTTACAAGAAAGCAATATATCGTGCGTTGATTATCTCAAATTGGCATTATTAGCGATTTTCAAACCCCTATTTTCACAAAAAATAATCACAGGTAAAATATTATATAGTATTTTCTGGGTAGTATATATAGTATTTTCTGGAAAGTATAAATTTATGAGAGCTTCGCAAAACAAAATTTTCGGGGTAGTATAAACTTTTTTGTCAAAAACGCTTTCTAAAAAAGTCGAAAAATGTCTGAGTAAAAAACACTAGGCATACAAATTCTGTCACTTTCCTCGAAAGTTGGAACTAAATGAAGTACCCTTAAAAGACATCGCGTGAAGATTTAGTCGGTATCATAAAATTCCCTTTAATCATTGATACACTTTTTCAACATCGGAATTCCAAGAACAAAAACTGCTCGCATCAAAACGATGCCCTGAAAATTACGACTGCTATTAAACGTCCATCAAAGTTTTGAGAAATTCGGAGAAAAAAATAAACCACATTGAACTCTATGAATTTAAGATTTTTTAAGATTGCCATTTTTTTCATAACACTAAGCCCGTTAGAAAAAACTGGATCAATAAGTAACTTTATTCAACTGAATTGCACTTCGAACTATTTTAAGAACTGAATTGCAATTTCGAACTTCTTTTGCCCTCTTTGCACTTTATTATAAGAATGAAAATTGCCTTCCTTCTAGTTCATGAAATGAACTAGAATGAAGGCAATAAGGAAGGCTGTAGGTGACATAAAAACATCAAGATTAAAAATTCAGTCACTTTCTTCGAAAGTTGAAACAACAATAAAAACGACCCAAAGAAGTCAAAATTCAACCAGACCGTCCGCGACCTACTTTCCTAATTTAAAAACATTTTGTTTAGCATAATTTTTTCATTTTGCCAAACATTTCCACTCAAAAAATTTGGTGGTTTGCTTTTATCGCTCATCAGTTTTTTAAGTGTATCTTTGGTGTTAAAAAAATAATTACATCAGAGTCAATCGCTAGTTTCAGTAACACTTTATCTAGTTTGAACACAAAAAATAGCAAGCTTACACGACTGCACTTTTTGATATAAATACAGCCAATCGAAAATTGGAAAAGAGTAATGAACGCCAGTAAACATAAAACACTTTGTTGAAAAAATCTCAATTTTCGAATTTCAAAAAAAAAATAGATGCCCATGAAGCTCTTTGAATTTCTAGAACGACTTATGATTGGCGCTTTTTTGATACCAGTAACCCAACTTCAGAAAACTGGATCAACACGTACAGTTTTTATTCCGCTGGAAATCTAAAAATTAAATTCCACTTTGGAAACTAGAAATCGTTCACGTTTTTTGGCGCCATTTCCACGTTCGTATTGGGAGAGTGCTATTTACGTCACTTTAAGCAGATGATTTTCAATTGAACTCAAAATGCATATATACCAAAGTGCATTAATGAATGCATCAATATATGTATCAATGCACATCTGTAGTTATTGTTCCGACTTTCGATACGAAAGTAACGGAATATTTGTGCTTGGGGTTTTTTTTCATCAGACAAACTTCGAGTTTTTAACTAGCAATTTTTGACGGAATTTTTTTTTATCATTCGAAAAGTATTGTTGTCCTGAGCTTAATTTTGAAAAGATATTTCACCTGTGGTCATTTTTTGTAAAGATATGAAGGTTTAAAGATTGCCATTTTGACCAATTTGGGATATTAACGCGCGATATAAATCAACGCTATTAACGCTTAAGCGGAGATTTAATCCGTCTTATAAATCGTTCCAAATTGGTTAAACGAAGCTTATAATTGATTTGTTACAAGGAACGAAGTCTATCTTTTTGTACTTTATATGGCGTGTGGAGGGATGATTTTTATTAAAAAAAAATTCAAATTTTAGAAAAAAAAAATTTCATTTTATTTTATTCCATTTAAATTTTTTATGTTATTACTGCTGCTCCATAAACCTTAAAAGGCAGTCGGAAGATTCAGGGCTTTGCCCTGATTCGAGCAGTCCTGTTAGAGACTTTTATGCACATTTTCCTGAATTTTTATCCTCATATCTCATTGACTCTTACTTTCAATGCAGTAGTCAAAATAAAATTCTGATATATTTTTCTGAACGAATATTAAAGCTTTCACACAATTATTGCGCTTTTTGAACGCAAGTCGGTTCCGCCTGTGAAAAAAAGGCGCATCTTTCCTTTAATGTTTGAGCGGTGGAACATTATCTACTTAATGACATCCATAAACAGAGATATTTAGACCACTTTGAGGCAAATGCTCTCTTTTGATCTGTCACAAAGACAAAAGATACACCAGAATTGGTGTCTTTTTGAATCTAGACGCCGTCCAAAAATCACCTGTACTCAATTCAGGCAATTGAAATTAGACACTATAATCGCAATCGAAGGTATCGTAATCGTATAAATCTAGCGATTAAGTCATATTTTAGAATCCTTTGAACAATCTCCACCTACGAGGAGGAGACGCGAACGGTTTGTAATTTAAAAATGATTTTTTTTGGAAATTTAATTTAATACTCACAAACGTTTTCAACAGAACTTTTTCGGCGTATTGCGCTTCAAATAGAATGCATGAAATAAGAGTTTCACCGACTTTCGACACACAAAAGCATGGCCTAAAGCACCGCCAAAAGTAACTGATTTTTGAGAGCAGTTGATAAGAAATTTTTAATGACGAAAACATCAAAACAAAATTAAGTATTTTCTTTATAAAAACTTAAACAAAAACCATAATTGCAACAAAAACCAAACATTCTATACGCCAAAAATCTTTAGAAGCAAAACAAAACCCTCAAGAAAAAAGTAGATATTTTCGGTAAGAAAATCGTTATGATCATAGAACGTGCCAACTTGATGGTTCTTCATATGAGAGCTGTACAACTATGTGCAGCTCAAAAATTGATTGTGATTTCAGTGACGCCCAATTCTGTTCACAACTTTCATTCTAAAAAATGCGTCATATTGTTTTAAAAACAAACTTAACACTTTTTAGATAAACTAGGTCAGATTGCGAGCAGCCTCTTTTATTATTACGGACAAACGATTTAAAATTAAAATATTCCACTACTAATTTTAAGAATTCACAAACGTTCATTACATTTGCAAAATGAGTTTGAAAATAGATACTCAAGTTGAAATACAGACATTTAGCGTGAATAAACTTCAGGAGTTTTGCAAAGATTGTGACATTTAAATATGACCGACATTTTAAAATGAGCGTGAATAAATTTAGGTACTTTGCTTAAACTATTACACATAATTTATTATTATTCTAAATCAAGAACATTTCCATCTATAAAAATTAAAAAACGGTATCAGAGACAAATCAATTGAGAATAGCATGTCGCTGTAAAATTAGTGCAAAATGCTCCGACCAAAGTTCATTCAAAAATATTTCAACAAAATAAATCAACAGGGGCACAAGCTGAAGCTATTTTTTAGATTATGTTGTACTGATGCGGGATGAAATGCGTAATTTTCAAAACTTAAAAGTTAGAGTTTACCCATAACCTAGTGCTTTCTCTACAAAAGCCTTACCTAGTGGAGATTCCTACTACGCATTCTTTTAATTGAAATCAACGACGTATTTGGATGGGTAGCTGTTGAAAATTTCCAAAAAAGAATAAACAGAGAAAATAATTGCACCATGTTCTATCAATTGAACAATTGATTTCAAAATTGGTGGGATAATTTTTGAGGAAAAAAATAGCTAACAAAAACGACAGAAACCTCAGAAATTTGACTTTTCCCAAGTTGATAAATTTATCTACAGCAATTAGTGCTTACCTGCTTCTGGAGCGATAATTCCCGCCACCCGTTTCTAAGATCAAATATGTAGCCTTGGAGCAAGTTATGTAGTTGTCGCGATAAATACTCAGACACCCACACATGGTAAGACTTTTAAGCAAACTAAGTTTCAGACTACTTTGAAGCATGAAATCTGTCTTCAAAAAAAGTTTTGCATGCCTAACTTTTCAAAAATCTCTCAATGATTATTCTTAATTGAATAGCTCGGTCATAAAAACCTAGCATTGCAAGCTTTCATACAGAAAAAGAGACGGAAACCACTATGTCGAAATAATTATAAGAAAAACGTCGCAAAAAGCATCTAAAAAAATTCAAACGATTGTCTCGAAAGATAATCAATTTGAAGAAAACATGTTAAAAAAACTATCAGCAGCGATAAAACAACATTCAGAATTTTTCATTCAGCGACAAGTAGGCGACAAAACTTGGGTAGACGCTGACTGAACAAAACAAAAGTATTGTCCTAAAAAAGTATTACGTCTAGCCCCTCGTAAAACACAAAAACATAAAACTAAATTTTTGCCCTTCAAATGACGCACTACAAGATTTCTAGGCCAAAATAACAAAAGCCGAAACCAATTAGGCAAAAAGCGAAGAGTCGAGAAAGCAGAAAAAAAATGGACATGTTTTTTTTCCGGAAAAATCATTAAGTTTCGAACTTCACCGCCAAAAATTATATAACCTTGAAGCTCTTTGACTTTCACAAACAATTTATGATTTTATGATTGACACTTTTGCGATAACAGTAACTCGATAGATTTTATTCCGCCAGGAAATTTGAAAACTGAAATCCATTTTCGAAATTAGAAGTCGATCACGTTTTTCGTGACCTTTTCGCTTTCGTAATCAGAGAGCGCGTTTTACCTACTTCTTCAGCAAATGAACTTGAATTAAACTCAGAAACTGCATACATAAATAAGTTGATTTGTAAAAGGATTAATGTAATTGATTAAGCTTCTGTATTTATTAGAGCATCTTAAGTCTTTTCCTGAAAAAAAAAAACAGCAAAAAAATAATCACGACCTATAAAAGCGTCTTCACTACGTTCATTGACTTCTAAAAATATTGCATTGAAGTTCATTAAAAATTTCTTTTGATTAATTTATGATTTACCCATTTTTGATAAAAAATTAATCCAATTTGAGAAACCTGGATCAATAGATAATTTTTTTATTCCGCTGGAAAATAAAAACAATCAAAACCTACTCTCGAAACTAAAAGTCAACAACGTTTTCCGTTAGCTTTACATTTTGCTGTTCGATAGTGGATTTTGATTTCTTTTGAACAAAAGAAGGAAAAAAATAATTCAAAAAATCATAAGTCAAACCGCGAAAAAAATTCGAGTATGAACAAATTTTAAGACTTTTTCCCGAAAAAAAAATTAACAAAATATCATCAGGATCCATATAAGAGTATTCAACACGATCATGACTCTATCTAGAAAGTTAAAAATACAAAGGCACACTAGTCATCACATGGCAAATGCAAAGGCAATGGAATTTATTGAGCTATCCTAATAAAGCAGTAAAATTGCTTAAACCGCAAGAAAAGTTGATATTTTATATTCAGATGACAATCCAAATGGCACTCCAGATCTTAGAATCCCAGGGCACACTTTTTATCACATGACAAGTGCGAAGGGTAAGGTATTTACAGATTTGTACGAAAAATTGTTTGTTCGCAATAACAAGTACACTTGTTTTCGCAAGTGCTGAAACAAAAACTGAACAAAGAACAAAAATTCATTACGACCTTTATAAGAATCATCACTGCCTTCATCGGCTATCAATGAGCAATGAAAAACAAAATTGATTAAGCGGCAACAAATGGGTGGACGAAAACAATTGAGCTACAAAAAGTTCAAAATGTAAGCCCCCAAGCACAAATGAGTTAAAAAACGAAATGGTCCTCCCGAAGACATATTATAATGAGAACAGTTGGATATAACCTCAACCCAAATCATCAAAATCAAGAAGACTGTAAGTGTAAAAAAAAACGAAAAAAAAAACGCTAAAGAAAAGAAAAAGCAACAAGAACCAACAAGAAATAAGAATAGAAGGGCAATTTAAAATTCAGACATGCGCAACAATATCTCTTCGCCAGAAAACTTATCAGTGCAGATATCCTGCTGCCCTAAATGAACTGCTTCCAACAGAACTGCTGCCCCGAGTGATTCAAGTCAACTAGTTGATAAGCGAGCAGGGGCATGGAATTTATTGAGGTTCCTAATAAAACAGTCAATTTACTAAAGAGTTCAAAGGGAAAACGTTTGTTCGCGATAAAAAGTGAACTTGTCATCGCAAGTGATAGAACAACAACGTCCACAGAATTAGGAACGAAGGCGGTTAAACAATCAAAATGAACAAATTAATGATAAATAAATGACCTTGCCAGTGACTTGACCTTGGAACTCCAATTCAAACCTCAAAATGAGCAGACTGCAACTTAACTTATGTGAAGCAAACAAAACATGTGACTCACTGTGGGAATGTAGATATCGCTCTGCATCAGGTTCGGCCCATACTTCTCCAGTGCATTCACCAGACTGTGGAAGTACTCGCCATAGTCGCCCGTCATCTGAGAACAATGAACTGTACCGTAAGGCTGCTCTTGGTGTTTACACTTGCACGAGTACTTGAAGAACGTCGGCGACGAGGTATCCCTCTCTCCCCTTTGCTCCGGAGTGGAGGAGATATTCAACTCGCCTTCCAAGTCAACGAACGAGGATCCTGTACTAACACTACTTGTATTTACTGAGTTCATACTAGGCGGCGTGGTTGCAGGACTTGAGAAGGAGCTGCAGTTCGAAGGATGCGGAGACTCCAAACTAGCGAGGTTGTTTCCGGATAACTGTGGTGTCGTTCCGAGGTTCATTGCAGACCCAGAGGTGCCGGAAGGCCATCGCTGTCTCTGACTATTACTGTTGTAAGGTGCGTGCGATGAACTCACATGCCGAGTTGACGCGAGGTGTTGTTGACTCCCGTTCGCCCCGAGCGGTGACAGTGAAGGAACTGAGCTGCTCCCTCCTCCGCTCCCGTCTGTGCTGTGATGTCGCGATAGCATTCCGTGGGGAATGTTTCCGCCCCCGCATCCGATGCTGCCACTACTGTTTAAACGATCTCTATAGAGAGCGGCAATTGCTGATGAGTTGTCCGCTTGGGCTTGTGCGGCGGCGGCGGCGGCACTGACGGCAGTGTTTAGAGCAACGGAAGAGGAGGAGGCTCCTACGGAAGCAAAGTTGAAAAGCACGGGGAACTCAGCCGAAGACCCTACAAACACAACAAAATTCACAGCCAAGAAAACATTTAAAGTAGCATACAAATAAACGCGTGCATAATTTAATCTTAAAATACTAAAAGTTTAGGCCAGTTCAATTTTAACGCCAATTTTAACAGCAGTTTTTTTTTCATTCAGGTGAGAATAATTTAATACTATTACTCAGGGTGAGTTGGGTTTTTCAATCGATTCAAGGCTATTGTGATGCAGATGTATGCACTTGCTAATTGGTATAAATGGTATCTACCTTTTAAGTGTAAAATAAGTTCTTTTAATTTACTATCTTAAAACATTTAAACCAGTAAATTAAGCAAAATTGTTCATAAACTGTCTTCGGTACTAATTCACACTTTTTAGCCGAATTTTAGCCGAATAACTTTTCTATTTTTCGAAGTCATTTTTTAAACGGTTCTGTTGAATGTATCGGCGCAAGAGGGGTTGCTGGTGAAATTACTTTTATTATGATTGTTGTCTAGAAAAGAGGCGAGGTGAGGGTGATTTGACAATGCAGTGAAACCACCAGCAGAGTGCTCGATTGTGCCTCCACTATTGTGCAACATCCGGTGCTGATGGTGGGGCGAAGTGCTGCTCAGTAGGGCAGCCATTGCCGCCGCTGGGTTCGAGACACCCATGCCTAGTCCTCCTTGACTCATTGGACCTCGAGGAGGTGCGGGAACCAATCCAGCTCCACCACCACCACCGCCTCCGGACACAGAAGGTGTTGTGATGCCCCCTGTAGGTGTGGTTGAATAGTGGGGGTGGGTGGTACTAGGTGACAGGGTGTGGTGTTGTGCATGTGAGGGGCTGTTGGCGTTGTGATGCAGATGGTGGTGAAGAGGTAGGGAGGAGGAGTTAGAGCTGCTGTTGTTGTTGTTGTTGTTGTTGTTACCTTGAAGCAGGGAGTTGTGAGGGTGGGGGTGAAGGAGAGAGGGTGTGGAAGAGGAGGAGGAGAATGATGATATGCGTTGTTTCTTTGCACCCTTGCCTGGCTGAGTTGTAGACAGGCCTGAAAAACAAAGCTTCAAATTACACTCAAATCCAATCATACTAAAACTTGAACCATTTTTGATCACTCACCATCTCAGATCTCGAATCTTGAGTTATTTCTCAGATCTCGAACCTAATGTTTCCAATCGTCTAATAATTTTTGATCGAACCATTGATAAGTTTCAGCAGGAGAATGAAGACACTTGTTAGAAAGGTAACTTGAAAACGAACAGATATTAAGAACCCACGCCAAATATTCATTGAGAACGCAAATTTTGAGTTTATATGAAATTCCAGCCATATAACAGAGCTTTACAAACTTTATTCGAACAAATTATCGTTGTAGAAAAAAAATCAGTAATTTTTTTCAGATCATAGTTTTTTGGAATAGCTAATTTTTTTTGCTGCATTGGAAGAACTTGCGAACTTCTAGAACGAAAAAATCAACCACAAGTCAATGTTTTAGCAGTTTCAAACAGACCTTTTGGCCAGGTTTGAACTTGAAGTCGACCAAAAGTTGACCCAATTTAAATCACTTTTTCAGTTAGGAATCGAAGCTGATGTTTCTCCAGTGACCGAAATGAAAACAACATCCATTTAAAATCCTAGATACACACGTGAGAAGGTGAGAAGCCGCCGTGACATAGAAAACAGACAAACAAGGAATTAAAAGACACTCAAGGTCTTCCGATACATGTACATCATAGAATCAAACCCAAAAACATAGCCAACTAACAGTTGGAAAAGAGTAATTAAACAAGGAAACTGGAAAAAAAACTGATTTGTTTTTTCAAGATCCTTCACTTTTTAAATTTTAAAGAAAAAAAAATGTATGGCCTTTAAGCTCTTCGAATTTGTAGAACAATTTATGATGGAAACTTTTTTGTTAAAGTTAACCCAATATGAGAAGGAAATTAAAAGAATCACAAGTCAAACCGCGAAAAATCAAACTGAGCGTGAAGAAATTTTAGACCTAAACAAAAAAAACAGCAAAACCTATATAGGAGCGTTCACTACGTTCATTACTCTTAGACGCAACAAAAAGGCAACGGAAAAACTAAAAGAAAACAAGACTAACCGGAAGCTTCTGAGCCTGGATGGGAATGGGAGCGTACTAATTGCTCCTATTTACTCGAACAAACATTTATATAACAGATCCGCAGAGGATCAACCCAGCTTCAAGCTCTTCGAACCTCCTGGCTCTTAATAATTGACACTCCTTAATTCGAGAAAACTGAATCAATATGAAATTACCGCAGATAATTTTGAAAAAGAAAATGGCTTTCATTTGATCTTAATAAAAAATCTTAAAAAAAACCGCCACAAGCAAGATTAGCCAACCGGTAAGAAAAGAAAAAACATACTGACTTTCTGTTTGAGAAAACGTCATTTTTCTAATTACAACAAATAGATTGCCTTAAAGCTTCAAGAATTTATAGACCAGTTTATGATTGACATGTATTTGATAAAATTAACCCAATTTGAGAAAACTGGACCGATACATAAAAAAATGTCGCTGGGAATTCTGAAAATTAAATTCCACTTTCCAAACTAAAATTCGATCACGTTTGACGTGTCCTTTTGCTGTTCGATAAGGAAGTTTGCTTCTTTCTAACGAAGTAAAGGCATTAAAAATAAAAGAATTAAAGTAATTTTGAGCCTGAACAAATTTAACGTCTTTTCCTGAAAAGAAAAACGAAAAAAAAAAATCGCAACCATTATAAGAACTGAAATACGCTCATCGACTCTTTATAAAATTCGGACTTTTGCTAAAAATGTGACATTTAAATTTGAGAGACACTTAAATATGAGTGTGAATAAATTTTTAAAAACTTTGCTTATGATTTATAATTATTTAAAATAATTTAAATTTCAGTATCGTTTCCATGTATAAAAAACAAAAAATATATCAGAGACAAATAAAAAAACGAGGATAGCCGGTGGCTGCCCAATAAGTGCAAGATGCTACAAACACAGTGCTGTTAAAACATCTGATAAAAATCAATAGGGCCCAAGCTGAAGCTGGAGGTACCTGTTTGATGTTTTTTAGACTAGGTCGTAATGATGCGGGATGAAATGCGTAAATTTCAAAATTTTAAACATTGGACTTCACTCAAAAACTAGTGGTTTCTCTACAAAAACAGGAGTTTAGCCGCTTATATAGTGGAGATTCCTAGGACTCATTCTTTCAATTGAACATTTGGAAGAATAGGTTTTGAACAGTAGATTATTACCAAAATAGAATATGCCGAAAAGATAATTGCACATTTCAAGTTTAATTGAACAATTAATTTCAATTTTGATGGGACAGTTTATGAGAAAAGGAAAACATAGCAATCAGACAGTTGGAACAGAGTCAATGAACTCAATTAAACAAAAAAACGACTGATTTCTTTTTTGAAAAAATCGCAAGCCTAATAAACTATTTCAATTTGAGAAAACTGAATCAATATGTAAGGTTGTTATTTCGCTGAGAAATCTGAACCATAGCCAACCGAAGATTGGAAAAAAGTAATGGATGCAAGTGAACATAAAAAAACACTGACTTTCTTGAAAAAAATCTCAACTTTTGAAGAAAAAAATAGATGCCCTTAAAGCTCTTTGAATTTCTAGAACAACTTATGATTGGCACTTTTTCCTTAAATTAACTTAATTTGAGAAAACTGTACCAATAAATAAAATTTTATATTTCACTTGGATATCTGAAAACTAAACTCCACTTTCGAAACAAGAAAACTATCACAATTTTCGTAACCTTTGCATTTTGCTGCTCGATAGTGGAGTTTGCCTTACTTTTAACAAAGGAAATGAACTGAATTTAGAAAGAAATCGAAAGTCTAACCGCGACAAATCAAATTTGGGCCTTAATAAATTTTTAGATTTCCTGAAAAAAATCATCTATATAAAAAGTTTCCCAACATATTTTTTCAGCACGGGGTGATAGCGTAATGGTCGTTTTACTAGAAAAGAATTTAACCTCTCCTAACTAAAAAATGAAAATTATAGAGGGACTCGATTTCTCTACTTTACGATATGACCGACACTAAAATTGCTCTAACAGCACCTTTGGCACCATTAATACAAAATTTTATGAGGGACAGCACGCCGAAAAAAACCTTAAAGTGCCTTAAAACCCCATAAAGCCTGTTTAAGTCCAGAAAATTTTGCCTTTATAAAATCTTCATAGTGTTTTCCAGAGGGCTCAAAAATCAATTCTGTCGACCTTAAAAAAATATCAGACAAAAGTTTCAAAAACTGTATGAAAAACCGCCCTCACCCTCGAGGAAATTCTAGATCCGCGCCTGAACTGCAGCCTTCGTTCTTTCCCACTTTCAGTGGCCGAAACAATAAATCATATGTTCACCTAAGCGGGGTAATATAGCTGTACATCGTATATGAAAAGAACTAAGCCTGTGAAGTGTTTCCTCGGACGAGACTTGAAAAAAAAGTCTTTAAACGGCAAGTGATGAGAAAAACAAACTGTTTATTTGCAAATTGTATTCGCACTCCTTGAATTTCATTATTTTGTTACCAATTTCAACAATAAAGATAGAGAGAAAATCCCCAAATACCTAAATTACGTACGAAAGAAGCATGAAATTTAATGATTTCACGCACAAAAATTTTATAAAAATAAGCGCCCTCTTTATTCGGGAAAGCGACCTCTTTATTCTAATCGAGCAAAGTCCTAATTAGATTTTATGGTTTGCTTTCAACCTATTATGAAGATAAAACCCAATAATTGGGCCACCCAACTAAGCTACATTTGCCCTCCAAAATAGATTTCAAACTATTTCATACTGAGAAAATAGGTCAGATGTTACTTACTGCCTGTTTTTTTTTGTGTTTCATTTTATTTTGGCCATCATACGTCATTTAATAGATGTTTATTTTATTTTAAATCACGAACAAACTAAATCATACCCAAAACAACGAAAAACCTCCAACATAGGGTTTGAAAACTTGAAAAAAAACAAGGAAAGGAATTTATTAAACTCATTAAACAAGGAAAAAAATTCTAAACTTCGAAGAGTTTGCATGACTTTGTAATATCAAATCAAATTCAGTCAAATCGAATCAAGAATAATTAAATTAGCCTTTTATCATGCCAGCGTTTGAAAACGAAGTTGAGACTTAAGGGAACTTTTTGTATGGAAAGTTATTGCTTACACCGCTGAATCCAGCTAGGAGGCGGAGCAGAATGGTCTAACAACAAGAAAAGACCCAAGAGCAGAAAAACCGAAAAAACTTTTATCAGCTACACGGTAATGCAACTACTAGAATTGTCAATATTGTAAAAAAAAAACGAATATATTAAGCATAAATTGAGTACTTCGATCGAAATTTTTTCAAGAAACTAATTTAAAAGCTTGATGATGAAAGTACTCAATTAAAATATAATTTATCAATTACCTTGGTAGTATTGACGTTTCTCATAATTGCTTTCATCTATTAGCCGGTATGAATAAATACTTAACAGTTTTTCTGCTCTTAGACCCTTTCTGCTCTAAGACTATTCTGCTTATTGACTGGCCACCATCGAGATAATTGCTCAATAAATCCGTTCGTTCATCGATAAATCATTGCTTAAGATCATGGCTGGCAAATTGTATGATATTTTCAAAAATAACAAACTAACAGTTAACTATTGAAAAAAAAACATCTTATTTATTTTAAATTGCTAAATAACTCAACACATTAAATTGCAATAAGTTTCTTGAGGAGAAATGCCAGTTTTCCAGCTTTATTGACGCCAAGTTGGGTTCTGAGCTTCCCAAACGTGAATACATCACGTCAAAGAGTTCCAAAATAAACCAAAAATCCTGAACTGAAAAAATTCAGCACAAATCTGCAAAAACAGTTATATGCAGAGCAGGGGTGGATTTAGGGGGGCGGACGCCTCCCCCTCAGGGATTCGAGCCCCTGCCGACCCAAAGGGACCCCCTTTGTACTATTTTGAGATAACCATAGACGGACCCTTAAATTTTTCTAAAGGCGCCTTAGGCGCCAATATATACT